CTGAAAAAAAAGCCCCCCCCCCAAAAAAAACAAAAACAAAAAACCTCCCACAAAACCTATTTCTCATCCCTTTGCACAGGAGCCTGAGGTGCCCCTTGCTTTAAGACACCCAGACACCTTTGGGAGCCTCCCCGGTGGCGAGCCCTGACGGGTGCGGTGGAAAGCACACTGGGGGGCCCTTGCAGGCCATCCGGTCCTGGCATCCTCTTTGGGTATGAAGCGGCCTTTTTTGGCTAAGTTCTGTACCCCCAAAGGCAGCTGTTCTAGCTTTGTCATCCACTAGCAATGAAAACACCTTTGCACTCGAGGCCTGACCTCCCTGCAGCAACGCCACAGCATGGCAGCTGGGACCCACCGACGCAATCCACACCCTCACGTTTCTGGTGAGCCGATCAGGTTCCTGCCTTCGTGTCCCTGCCACGGTCAGGGAGCCCGCCAATGGCAGGGAAGTGGAAGGACAGGTGGTCAGAAGCTGCATGGGGTCAGAGTTTGGATTTCATTGCAAGAGTCGTGGAAATCCCGCATAGACCTTTAAGCCAGTGGTTCTCAACCTTGGCTGCACATTAGAATCACCTGGGAATCTTTTTAAAATCCTGATTTCTGGGCCTCATCCTCCGGAAATTCTGTTTCTTTGTTACTAATGTTGTGGCCTCATCCCATAACAAAAAAAACCCCACAGAATTTCCGGAGGATGAGGCCCAGAAATCAGGATTTTAAAAAGATTCCCAGGTGATTCTAATGTGCAGTCAAGGTTGAGAACCACTGCTTTAAGCGAAGGAGCAATAGGCTAGGATTTCCCTTTTCTGGTTGCATTGAGACAAGTGGACTGGAGAGAACCAGGAGGGGAAGGGGCAGTGTCCTCCGGCTTTGTAGACCCGGTGTCCAGCAGGGCAATGCCCTCAGAAAGCCCAGGACTGGCTGCGAGTGGGAGAACATTTGCACTGAGCAGTCACTGACCCCCACGGCTTGCCAAGTGGGGAGGGTTCCCTGACCCACGAGGTTCAGCAGGCCTCTACCTCCAGGGGACCTCGCTGGAGGCCTCCCCGATGGAGGGGCTGGGGCTGGGCAACCAGGTGACCTGCGGGGGCTCTGGCTGGAGGCTCTGACCAGCACAGACACCAGAGTCCAGGGTCTGGGGAGAGTCCTGATCCCCGGAAGCGAGGACGGAGAGTTAGGTGGCCACAGAGAAAGCCTCAGGGAGCAAAATACCCGTCCTTTCCCTTCCGGTTCCGGGCAACAGTGGCTTGGAAAGGTCACGCCAGCCTTGTCTGGCCCCTGAGCGGCCCAGAACCCGCACATCTGAACTTCTTATGGTCTCTGCTGGCCCCGAAGCGCTCTGGTCCCCGGGCCCACATTCCCCACACTCGCCGGCCCCAAGGTCCACCCCCGCCGCCAGCCTCTGGGCTCCAGACCTGGTCTCCTTGCCATAAAGAAGGCGTTTCACCTCCCTCAAGTCTGCGGGCGGCAGGTGCTTCTCCAAGCACTGCTCCAGCGACTCCCACTCAGGCTCCGCCATGGCTGGAGATGTCCAGGCCCAAACTGCCTGCCCTTTACCCTCGGCGGGGAGCAGAAGGAGGAGATGACCAAGTCCACAGACGTGCCCTCCTCTCCACGCTTCACCCTTCTGCCCCCAGAGAGCTCCCTGAAGACACGCCCCTCCTCATGCCTTCGCAGCGCGCAGCCAATCAACGCTTCCAGAGCTTCCCTGGGGCCCCGCCCCCTGCCCTTCGTACCTCCCTCGGCACGCGCCGGACACGCCCCCTCTGCCTCGGGACACGCCCCCTACCCTTCGCGCTTCCTTCGGCACGCGCCAGGACACGCCCCTCCTCACGCCTTCGCAGCGCGCAGCCAATCAGCGCTCCAGAGCTTCGCGGGTGGCCCCGCCCCCTCCCTTCCTGCCGGACACGCCCCCCACCGCGGGACACGCCCCCTGCCCCTCGCGCCTCCTCAGGCACGCGCCAGGCCACGCCCCCTCAGCCGTGGGAGGCTCGCGCCCTGACGCCTCAGTAGCTGCGGTCCGGTCCCCTCGCCCTCTGGGCTCTCGCTCGCCTTCCGGTTCCGCCTCTCACCTGCCCCGAGGTGTCCGGGCGGGACCGGGGCGGGACCGGCCACCTGGAGAGGAGGTGAGGCGGGCTGCGCGCGGGTCTGAGGTGGAGGGCGGAAGGGCCGCTCCCCACCGCGACGGGGAAAGTTGGCTCCGCGAGCCCTTTGTGAACACCTCCATTCGAGCACTACCAGCCCCTATTGTGCACCTGCTCCTGAGCTCCGGGCGGGACTGGGTCGGATCCATCGGTGTCCGCGGGGCCGTGGTCCTCAGGGCGAGGCTGTCGAGGAACTGGCTCTGCCGGGATCAGGGCAGAGTCATTAGGTGGCGACCTTGGAGCTGAACTTGACCGACCGGAGGTGGAACCTCATCACTAGTTCAATGGCTCCCTCACCTCGCTCTGCCGTCCGGTGGCGGGGCCGTCGGGGGGTGGGGCCTTCCGCTCTATCCACTGAGCCACACCGGTCACGGCCGTTTTAGTTTATTTTTTAAAATACGTTTTGATTGATTTCAGGAATGAGCATCCTGTGCTGACACATCATGTTTTTAAAGAGACTCTAAGCAGAGGATACGAACCTTTAAACATCTGGGTGTCTGTTCTTCGGCTTTCCTTTATGTTTGCAATAGCTTATTAGAAATTATTTTATTTAAAAAAAAAGAGAGCCTTAGCCCTGGCCGGTGTGGCTCAGTGGATAGAGCGTCGGCCTGTGGACTGAAGGGTCCCGGGTTTGATTCCGGTCAAGGGCATGTACCTTGGTTGCGGACACATCCCCAGTGGGGGGTGTGCAGGAGGCAGCGGATCGATGTTTCTCTCTCATCGATGTTTCTAACTCTCTATCCCTCTCCCTTCCTCTCTGTAAAAAATCAACTATATATATATATATATATATATATATATATATATATATATATATTCTTTTTTTTTTTTTTTTTTTAAAGAAAGAGCCTTAGAAACCCGGAGTCAGGAAATCTGCAGTGTCGTCTGGGTTCTACCAGGACCTGTTGTCCTGTCGTAAGAAAGGAGGGAAGGGGAGGGGAGAGGAGGGGAGGGAGCTGGGAAGACGGTCAGTGCTTGGGGGCGATTTAGCTATAACAGGTTCTGATCACCTAGTCCAGCGGTTCTCAACCTGTGGGTCGCGACCCCTTTGGCGGTCGAACGACCCTTTCACAGGGGTCGCCTAAGACCATCCTGCATATCAGATATTGACATTACGATTCATAACAGTAGCAACATGACAGTTATGAAGCAGCAACGAAAATAATGTTATGGTTGGGTCACAACATGAGGCACTGTATTTAAAGGGCCAGAAGGCTGAGAACCACTGAATTCCAGTCACATAAAAATTCCTCTACGCTCATCCGAAACAAAAGAGTTTCATGATGGAAGCTGGTTTCACGGAAAGAGCTCACTGGTTAGACAAGTACCCGTGTCTGTTTCTACGTCGTTTGTCAGCGTGTCCATTTCCATCCTCCGGGGATGGATGTGAGGTGCAGAAGGTGCGGTGGGCTCTGCCCATCAGCACGTGAAGGTCTGAGATGTATGCTCATCGTCGGGTGAGCCATGCTCGCCGGGGCCGCAGCCTGGGGGTCCCCCGGCCTCGTTTCTCACCTGAGCCCGAGGGGCTGCTGATGCCCTCGGTGGCATTGCACAGGACACCAGGGCTTTTGCCTCTTCCTTGTCCCGTTTAATCCTCCCAGGAACCCTGTGAACTTGGGGGAAAGGCGCTCAGAATCTGTCGCATTTCCAAATTAAACATGACACTTGCTGGAAATGAGAATGCAGGAGCCAGTGTGGTCCGGGGAGCAAAGATCTGAGGTGACCCAGTTTCCACGTCAACTGTCTAAAGGCCCAATTTCTGGGTTGTTTCTCTTCTGGCTGTTTCTTAGCTTGGAAGGTGCTGTTCCACCCCTTTGGCCACCTTCTAATTAATTTCCTTTTAATGTGCACGAATCCATGCACTGGGCCTCTAGTAGACTATAATACAGTTGTGAATATAAAACGTTAATTGTCTTCGAAGTTTTATTTTTCACCTATGAATTGAACTAAATCCTGAATTTTCCTAATTTTCTTAAATATTTGACTTCAACCCTCCAAACCAATGTTTTCACTCTTCTCCCATCCTTAGATTTGGAGTTAGAACTAAAATATCTTTTTCCTTCCACCAGACCATTTGTCATAATTCTTGCTGTTCTAGCTTTTGCCCCGATAATACAAACATTTATAACAGTTTGTCTCCACCAGGTTACGAGCTCTACTTGCACTCAGAGAATACCGCCTCGAGGCACCACAGCTACCTCCTGTGCCCAGACCTCAGTGTCCCTCTGACAGAGCGAGGATCTCTTGGCTCTGAAGGAAAGCAGCTGCAGGGAGCCCCTGAGCCCCTTTTCTCTGACAGATTTCAGAACCAAGATCCTTGAGGGGGGACGTGGTGGGCAGTTAGACATGAACAGAGCGAGGACGATGGGCCAGCGGCAGAAGGTCACCGCGGTGGAAAGCTCCAGGGTGACCCTCCTCCCCTAGAACATGGCTGGTCGTGGGGTTTGGACCCCCTGGCCTTTCCTCCCAAGAGATAACATCGAGGCCTCAGTTGTCTTTCAGCTCCAGGCCCAGAAAAAGCAACAAAACCAGCCACAGCGGAGGCCAGGACCAGCTGCAGGGAATAATGACCCCGCCCTGGTGCCGGCCCATCACTCCGTGGAGACCACACCCTGAAAGGACACACCTGGAAAGCTGCTGGACCTTCTGTTGAGATCTTCCCCTGGGACCTCCCCTAAAATCCCCACCTTAAAGCCCTTAGGACTGAGGGCCAAGTTTGTCTGCCCTCCCAGGAGCCTGTCCTCCCTGGAGCTGCCCAAGCCTTTCCCTTTCCCTGGCCCCTCCCCTGCCCCGCAAACACATTGCCATCACCTTCCTCCTTCCCAAGCCCTAAGAGAGCTGTCTATAACTGGTTTCCTAGGTTTACCAAATAAATGTTCTCTTATTTAAAAACAAAATCTAAGAAGATTTTTAAAAAGCGGAGCCCAGCAGCCATTTCTGCACAGGGGCCTCTCAGCAGACGGCACTCCTCGGAGCGGCTCCTCTGTGCTGGGCGGCCTGCCTGCCGATACACCGCCTGCTCCCTGCACGCAGTCAGCCCTTTAAAGGTCTCCGAGAGCCCTATTCCAGCCACTAGGACGGAGGCGGTCCCTGTGCAATCGGATATGGGAAGGGGTCGTGCCTAAGGGGTTTATGTGTGTCCCACGGGCCCTAAGGAGAGGAGCTGGAGTCAGTGGACAGAGTCGGGCATATTTCAGCCCAACGCAGTGATTTCCAACAAGCCATCGAAAGATGAATCGCGCTGCCTCTGCAGGCGGTGAGCTCTCAATCTGGGCGTCCGAGTGCCGTCCGAGTGGCCACTTGGTGGGAGTGTTGTAGAAGAAAGTCCTCAGACGGGGAGCTGAGCCAGGATATCGCTTTACTTCGAACCCCCAAAACAGGGATGTTATGTCCAAAGAACCATAAGCGGACCACAGGGCAATCCAAGACAGTTTGGTATATAAATAAGTGAAAGTCAAGAAATGTAATCTTACTGAAAAACCAGGGAATAGGAGGGTTTCATTATTGTTAATATTAGTAGTGCATGTGGTTGGTTTAAAAAAATTTTTTTTTAGTTTTAAAAATTGATTTTCAGAGAGAGAGGAGAGGAGAGAGAAACATCGCACACGCCCCAACCGGGGATCGAACCTGCAACCCGGGCCTGTGCCCTGACTGGAAATCGAACTGGTTCACAGGTCGACGCTCAGCCACTGATGTGCCAGAGCCTGTGCCAGGCGCCAGGGGTCAAGCGGGAATAAGTCCTGTGCTTGTTTTCATAACCATAACGGCTCCTCGTTCTTGAACACCTGCTACGGGCCAGGCACTGTGCTAGGCCTGGAAGTGACAGATCGGTAGGGGACAGCGAGGTGTTGTCAAGGGGCGGAGGGAAGGCTGGGTGTGGTTTGTATTACATACCTAAGGCTGCAGACAGGGCGCTTGCTCAGTGCTTGATAAACAGTGGCTGTGTTTACAATATTAGGTGATCCCGTCACCAGAAGTGCCACCCGGGTCCCGAGGAGACAGAACAAATCCTCTGAGCTAAAATGATGTGTGAAGGACACAGGCAGGTCAACCCAGGAAGAAGGAAAAGCAAGACTGCCAGCAGGAAAAGGTGCCAGTCTGTCTGGAACACCCGCGTCCATAAAGGGCTGCCCCGCGCCTGCGTGTGCAGATATGCGGAAGGTTCTAGAGACATGCGCGCCACGAAATGACTCCAGCCCTGAAACCCGTTGCCCTGTGCACGGCAGAAAAATGATTGTGTGAAGTTGTAAAAACGGGAAGGATGAGACGAGCCTGGAAATGATCCAATTGAAGGAAGATTGCAGACTCGCTTAGTCACCTGAAGGGAGAGAGGAGGCCTGACGAAACGGGAGGAGATGATCACATCGCTTAAGTGGGCATTGATCAACGTGTTTGGCAGGACAAGTGGAAATGGTTTTTTCTTAAATAATTCAAACCTGCAGGCTTCCAACCCGGCTGAAGGTAGTATAAAGGTCTGCTCTCTATAAAAACGTGTGGTGCCCCAGCGGCGAAGGAGGAGCATTTAAAGGAGGAATAAGTAGAACTCACTCCCTGTCTGCAGCTGAGAGCGATGAATGAAGGCCCAGCTGCTAAATACACAGTAGCCTTCAGCTGAACCCCTGGCAGAAGGAGAAGGAAATGCCATCTGCCTGCTGACCCGGAGGAGAGCAGACTTAAACCACATAATATTATCACCGAGGGAGTCAGGCCTGGTGATTTAAAGACATTTCTACTTCGAACGTTCGATACGTGTCAAAACCTATGACATGTTTCCATGGCTGGTTGTTCATTTTTCTCCTCAGTGTTTCCCTGAACTAATCAATACAGGGCGCGGTGGGGGAGACCCCTGAAATTGAAAGGGCATTAAGGTTATGGCCATGTTGATGGGATCCTATCGTAACCGTGCCGTCGGATAACGTTGTCATCGTGGGGAAGCGGTGTGCTTATGTCATCAGAAGCGGCACGGCACAGAGTGAAGTCAGAGGTTTCTAGTCTCCGCCGGCTGCGTATCAGTTTTATGACCCTGAGCAAGCGACTTAGTTTTTCTGGACTCCTTTTGCGTAAGATGATGGTACAGTACTTGCTGGTGTGGCTGCTTCAGGGATGAAATGAAAAGCAGGTCTGTGAGCCCTCACTGGTTTTGGTTTGGTTCATTGGACAGAGCGTCGGCCTGAGGACTGAAGGGTCCCGGGCTCAATTCTGGTCAAGGGCACATGCCCCGGTCGCAGGCTCCTTCCCCAGGAGGGGGCGTGCAGGAGGCAGCCAATCCATGATTCTCTCTCATCATGGATGTTTCTATCTCCCTCTCCCTCCCTCTCTGAAATCAATAAAAATATTTAAAAAAAAAAAAGAAAAGCAGGCCTGTGAAATGATTAGCAGCGTAGCGCCCCACTGCGGGCAGGGGCGCCCTTTCCCACAGTGATGTGGCCACTCGGAGCGTTGGGAAAGCCTCTCTCGGAGCTGCTCAGAGTCTGTGGCACAGCCTCCGCAACCGCCTTAGTGCTGGGCCGCACTCCCATGTCGTGGGTTGTTTATTTTTAAGGTAGATTTTATTTTTGAGGAAAAAAGAGAAGTTAACTGAGAACTAAGTTTATGGGTGATCAGGTTAGAGATGCTAAACAAAGTGTGACGATCAAGTTTGGATTCTCGACCCACCCTGAAAGCAACTCCAATAGAAAAAGTCCCAGAGACGTGTTGAGCAGAGCAGCCCTTTGGGAATCAGTGCTGGCGGGATACGTTCTTGTGTGTTTAAACTTGGGCTCCGGCGTCGCCCGCGCACCCCATTTCTGTGGAAAGGGTGGCCACAGGCGGAATTGTTAGTAGCGACTCGCAGAGCACCAGGCTCAAGTAAAACCACCGAGACCCTGTAGAGGCCATGCTGCTGTCGCCGAGTTCATTTAAATATTTAAACATCCTTTCTTCATATGCAGCTCAGGCCTGGGCACGGACAATTTGAAGAGCCTCACTTTGAAAGCTCACTCTGTTGAGCTTATTACATTCTCCCGGAACGGAGCAGGCCTACTCTGCCCCCACCTCAGTCTCTCTCCAAATGAGTGGATCTGCCTCTGATAACATCCTTCATTCCGTTCCCCGGACTTAGGAGCTTGTCTGCTTCATCTTCCTGACATTAAACCTGTTGCTGTCATGCCTGCTTTTCGTCTTGCATTTTCTGCCCCTTTTCTGCTCGTACTGCCTCCACCGGCATCCCCTCCCTCGCTGGCCCGCGCTTGGGCCGCCGTGGTAGCCAGGAAGCTACTGCCTCTGCTGGCAGTGCTGTTGTCCCCCAACAGAGCCTTTTTAGATGAATACCTGTAGACGAATGTTCCTACAATGACCCTTCCATCTTGTGTGTGTTTTTGTTACAATACTTAACACGTGGATTGCAGGTAATGGTTTGTGAGGGGATAGTTGTGCACGTGTCTTTTTGAGATCTTCGACAGCGGGAACTCCTGTGCTTATCTGTACTCGTAGTGCTTAGTACAGGGCCGTGCTCACCGCTGCCTGGCCCTGAGCCACAGTTCTTTAAGGGCCCCGTGCCTCAGTTTCCTCGTCTGTAAAATGGGGGTGAGGACATCTATCTCACAGGAGCATGGCATTAACAGAGTGTGCACGTGGATATGTTAAAAAGGAGCGTTTGTATGATTATAGCTTTTGTATTATTAGCACAGCGCTTTGTTATTCTCAGCAAACGCCTTTTTTCCTGACTTTCGAGGGAGGGCCTGTGTTTTCTGGCCCACTCGCCTCTAGGTGAGTCTCGTGCGCCCCAACATCGAAGGCCAGGCCCCTTTTTGTCCAGCAAATACTCTCCTTGTTACTGTGCGTTCCACCCTGGAGCATCCCACGCCTCCCACCAAGCCCTCCCCCACCCACCCTCCTCTAGGCCCCCAGGAAGCCCCTCCTCTGTGAGGTCTCCACCAGCCTCCACTCGCCCTCACCCCTCTCTTTCCTGAGCACCTCTGGCATTTAGAGCTTGTGTCCCGGTTTGGGTTCTTAATCGTTTCTTGTGTTTACTTTGTCTCCCCAAAGGGAACATGAGCTCCTAGGAGACAAGGGGCCTGCCCTGCTTCTCTCACCCTCTCCCGGGCTTGTGCAGACACACCCCGTCCATCGTGCGTCCCTCCGCGATGCCTCACGGGTGTTGCGTTTGTTACAGATTGAAAGCAAGACCCTCCATCGGCCAAAAGGTTACACGGCGCTTTCCTGTGACACTTGCTTTCCCGCGGTGTCTGGAACCGAACGCACAGTATCTCTGAGGGATGCCAATACGCATTCATCTAATCAGCTTTCTCCACGCGTGTGCCACGCACTAGCCTGGGCAATGCCATACAATGAATAAGAGGCGCCTCCATTCCAGTGGGAAGCCAGAGGTGTAAGTATTGGGATTTCGTACGGTCGCCGCTACTTAAGATTCCAGAGTGGATGGTTAATATGCTCAGGGCTGTTCATTAGGTAAATCGTGGCTCTGAGCCGAGGGCGGGCAGGCGAGTGACTGGAAGCAAGAGCTTCAGGTCTGTGGCATCAGCTGAGACGTGACAAAGGCCTGCAGCGAGGCCCTGGGGACAGAGAGGGCGCCCTCAGCTGCCACGTGGACACAGAAATCCAAGGGATTTGAGAGCACCCGGATGCAGACTACGGAGGATAGCAGGTGGGACCTTCAAGACGATTTAGGCCTCCGGCTGGAGCATCGGTTTAATGCTGAAGCCAGTTAGGAGGTCGGAGCCGTGAGGGGAGAAAACCGCAGGTGTGGAGACTGAGATGCCCAGGGGGCCCCAGAGATCCCCGTGAACACATGGAAACGCGGGTCTGGGGCCTAAAGACTGGCCTTTGGACCAGAGAGAGCAAGAGTCTGAAATCTTAGCAAACAGTGGCGGCAGCTGAGTCCCCGAGGGAACGTCACCCAGAGGCAGGACGCAGAAGATGAGGGGAAGAAAGAAACGCCCAGAGAAGTCGAGGAGACGCAGAGATGAGCGGGCCGCGGGGCAGAGCGGGGCCGGAGGCAGTGCTGCGTCGGGGTCAGCGTACAGTGGGTCTTGCATTCAGAGCTCAGGAGAGGACGGAAGTGAGCTAAGCTGGCCCCTCGTGGGAACCAGCATATAGAGTCCAGAGTTCATTGAATCGGGAGAAGGAAGGGCCAACAGAGAGGGGAGCTTGAATCAGCTTGGAATGACAGGAAGGAGCAAGAATAGTCCATTGTTTGAGGGTGAGATAGGGCTTGGTAAAAGATATTTTCTTTTTATTGACTTTGAGAGAGAGAGTAAGGGTTGGGGGGAGAGAGAAACATCGAATCGAACTGGCAACCTCTTGGTGCCTGGGACAACGCCCAAGCAACTGAGCCACCCCGGCCAGGGCATAAGATAGGGCTTAAAACCAAACAAAAATGAAGCTCCTTCGAACATTTGTGTGACAAGGGGGAAGAAGCCAGGAGAGAGCAGGCAGTGTCTACGTGTGCCAGGTGAACCACTAACGCTTCACACAGTCTTTCATTCCATTCTCATCATCACCTTGAAGGGAGGTACGCTGTCCCCTGACTCCCCTGGTTAACTAACTTGCCCAGAGGGGTGAAGATTTGTTTCACCACAAAGATCACATTCTGTCTGTCGGTTTAGATATAGAGGAGGGTGTGAAGGAATGGGGCCAAGGTCACTGACAGACACTACTTGGGGAGAAATACGGACGCCCGCTCCCCCCAGGACAGAAGGCAGGAGGTGAGGACCGACCTGTGCAGAGTGAGGCCGGCCGATGGATACACGGGAGCCGAGGGACACACTGAGCCTCGGTCGGTCATCTCCTAAGAGGGAGAGGCCAAGGAGGGTAGTGTGAGATTAAAAACACTCATTGGATGATTGACAGTGAGAAATCACCGCTGAATAGCAGTGTTTGGTAAAAGATGGGAAAAATGGTTAAAAGATTTTCCAATATCTTTTTCAGCTTTCACTTTCTTGGGCTTTAAAAAAAAAAGTGCTGGGGGGGTGGGGGGCTGGGTACAGGCTAGAAGGGGTCAATGGGAAAAAAGGGAGACATACGTAATACTTTCAACGATAAAGATCCTAAAAGAGCCAAGTTTAAAAAAAGAAAGCCCTTAAAAAGGGTAGAGAGGAATGGGAGAATCAGCATATTGTAGAACTATATGAACGTATCTTTATGTTTCTATCCATTTAAGTTCCGTTTCCTAAAGAATAAAGGATGAAGAATCGAAGAACTGCAGCTTCTTAAGAGAACGCAGCGGAGAGAGCCCGGGGCCCTCAGTGAGGAGGGCGCCTCCGGTTCTGGCTCCGTCACTAGGCCGTTCCCATCAGCTCCTGGGTCTGTTTTCTCAGCTGCGAAGTCTGGGGGCTGATCTGCAGTAGCCGAAGTGCCTTTGAGCTCAGAGTGTCTGTGCCGGCCTGGCATTGGGGTCCCGTGGAACACCCCAGTCAGGGACACGGACTCGGCAGTCAGCACACTTGCGTTCAACCTCACCCCTCCTGTCCACGCTGCGTGACCTGTGGGCAGGTTGTTAGCCTCTCTGGGCCTCAGTTTCCTCATCTGTAAACTGGGGATACTAGCAGTAAATACTCCCCTGGTGGCTATGAAGATTCAATGAAAAAACACACACACAACCACCTTCTCATTGAAAGTGCTGACAGCAATAAGTACTAGATAAACGGAAGCTGTTGTCATTAGCGACTGTAGATGCTGTTATTCCGACGCCCTTTGCCCCTGCTGAGAGCACCAGCTCGGCACCGACATGCGATCCCAGCGCACAGAGGTAAATGGAATTGACCAATTAGCGTTGGCCAGGTTCCCCTTTTGGGAAAGGAATGAAAGGAATTTTCAAAGATCTGAGTGGTCAGGACCTCTGGGTTATGATTCAGCCGCAGCCGACTGTCAAATTTTCCCACAGCCCAGTGGAAAGTCACTGAAGACTCCGCACAAACAGTGCCCCCCCCCTCCCCGCCCTCGGCGTTTCCCTGTGAGGACGCACCGCTGGCTTAGAGAGCTGGCCGGCGGGAGCGGATCTGAGCAGGCCCGGCAGATGTGCCAGCCCAGGCGCTCAGGGCCCGGAGTGCTTCCGCTGCGACCGCGCCGGGGCCGCAGGACTCACGCCTGCGAGAGTCTGTTGTCAACCTGCCTCCTCCCTGCCTTTCTCTGTGGGGAAAGTTAAGATTACGGACGCCGCCCTAGCTGGTGTGGCTCAGTGGATAGGACATCGGCCTGTGGACTGAAGGGTCCGGGTTTCGATTCAGGTCAAGGAC